CTGCTAGCTGTTTAATAATAGGTTGTGGCGCTGCTAGCTGTTTAATGATAGGTTGTGGCGCTGCTAGCTTTTAAATGACAGGCTGTGGCGCTGCTAGCTGTTTAATGATAGAATGTGGCGCTGCTAGCTGTTTAATGATAGGTTGTGGCGCTGCTAGCTGTTAAATGACAGGCTGTGGTGCTGCTAGCTGCAAAATTCCAGGTTGTGGCGCTGCTAACTGTTAAATCACAGTTGGTGGCGCTGCTAGCTGTTAAATACCAGGTTGTGGTGCTGTTAGCTGCAAAATACCAGGTTGTGGCGCTGCTAGCTGTTTAATCACAGTTGGTGGCGCTGCTAGCTGTTTAATCACAGTTGGTGGCGCTGCTAGCTGTTTAATCACAGTTGGTGGCGCTGCTAGCTGTTTAATCACAGTTGGTGGCGCTGCTAGCTGTTTAATCACAGGTGGTGGCACTGCTAGCTGCTAAATACCAAGGTGTGGCACTGCTAGCTGCTAAATGACAGGTTGTGGCGCTGCTAGCTGCTAAATGACAGGTTGTGGCGCTGCTAGCTGCTAAATGACAGGTTGTGGCGCTGCTAGCTGCTAAATGACAGGTTGTGGCGCTGCTAGCTGCTAAATGACAGGTTGTGGCGCTGCTAGCTGCTAAATGACAGGTTGTGGCGCTGCTAGCTGCTAAATGACAGGTTGTGGCGCTGCTAGCTGCTAAATGACAGGTTGTGGCGCTGCTAAATACCAAGTTGTGGCGCTGCTAGCTGCTAAATACCAAGTTGTAGCGCTGCTAGCTGCTAAATACCAATTTGTGGCGCTGCCAGCTGCTAAATGACAGGTTGTGGCGCTGCTAGCTGCTAAATGAGAGGTTGTGGCGCTGCTAGCTGCTAAATGACTAGTTGTGGCGCTGCTAGCTGCTAAATGGCAAGTTGTGGCGCTGCTAAATACCAGGTTGTGGCGCTGCTAGCTGCTAAATACCAGGTTGTGGCGCTGCTAGGTGCTGAATACCAGGTTGTGGCGCTGCTAGGTGCTGAAAACCACATTGTGGCGCTGCTAGCTATTAAATTACAGGTTGTGGCGCTGCTAGCTGTTATTTGACAGGTTGTGGCGCTGCTAGCTGTTAATTGACAGGTTGTGGCGCTGCTAGCTGTTAATTGACAGGTTGTGGCGCTGCTAGCTGTTATTTGACAGGTTGTGGCGCTGCTAGCTGTTAAATTACAGGTTGTGGCGCTGCTAGCTGTTAAATTACAGGTTGTGGCGCTGCTAGCTGTTAAATTACAGGTTGTGACCCTGCTAGCTGTTAAATTACAGGTTGTGACGCTGCTAGCTGTTAAATTACAGGTTGTGACTCTGCTAGGTGCTGAATACCACGTTGTGGCGCTGCTAGGTGCTAAATACCACGTTGTGGCGCTGCTAGCTGCTAAATCCCAGGTTGTGGCTATGCTAGCTGCTAAATCCCAGGTTGTGGCTATGCTAGCTGCTAAATCCCAGGTTGTGGCGCTGCTAGCTGCTGAATACCAGGTTGTGGCAATGCTAGCTGCTGAATACCACGTTGTGGCTATGCCAGCTGCTGAATACAACGATGTGGCGCTGCTAGCTGCTGAATACCACGTTGTGGCTATGCTAGATGCTGAATACCAGGTTGTGGCTCTGCTAGCTACTGAATACCACGTTGTGGCGCTGCTAGCTGCTAAATCCTAGGTTGTGGCTCTGCTAGCTGCTGAATACCAGGTTGTGGCGCTGCTAGCTGCTGAATACCAGGTTGTGGCTTTGCTAGCTGCTGAATACCAGGTTGTGGCGCTGCTAGCTGCTGAATACCAGGTTGTGGCTATGCTAGCTGCTGAATACCAGGTTGTGGCTATGCTAGCTGCTGAATACCAGGTTGTGGCGCTGCTAGCTGCTGAATACCAGGTTGTGGCGCTGCTAGCTGCTGAAAACCAGGTTGTGGCATTGCTCTGAGGACGTTTATGGTACCAGATGGGACGGTAGACTTTCACAAGCATTGATACACATTCATATAAGTCATCGTCACAAACTTTCACTTTTACAGTTTGCGATTCACTGCTCGATAGGTGGCACTGGCTTTCATCATTTCGTGCTGATGTGTAATAATGTCGGTAATGGCATCAACCCGTATTTTTTATTTTTGCTCTTACATCAGATCGTTTTAGGTGCAGCGTCTATTTTGATAGTTGTTGTGGTTGTAGTCTAACGACATGACCGAACCATTTGATCCTCTGCACTTATAGGATTAGAGGACGAAAGTAGAGATGGGAGAGTACTATAAGACAGAAGGTTACTCATCCGGCTGCTTTGCTAGTACGTTTTGGCGGCAGTTGATGACCTACGACCCAGTACGGTGTAACATGAAGAAGATAAAAGCAGAAGAGGGGGAAGAAAATAACACTTGCAGTTTTGTTGTGCGAATTGAGCTGTTTACATTTTATAGACGGTTGTGAAAGCAGGATAAGTAGAAATCATCATCATCCTCAGGCGCCTTGCCAGCTGGCGAAAGCGCTCATGCATCTCCGCAAATCTCGGTCTTTGGTATTCTGAATCAATTCCACTGATGATATTACTCAATGCCACTGTGTTAAGCCATTCATCATCATTTCTCTTAGTCTGCCTCTGCCTCTTCTACCAGTGATCTTTCTAGTCGTCACGATATTTTCAAGTGCTCCTCTTCTCATCACAAGACCAAAAAAACTTTGTTTGTCTCCTTCTCATTGTTGAATATTCTGTTCTACTTTTACTAGCCATTTCCAGGCCATCATTGTTAGTTTTTCTGACAGTCCAAGGTATTCGCAACATTCTTCTCAAGACGGCATCTCACTTACCTCCAAACTCTTCTTAATTATGATTTGCATACCATCTGTAAACGTTAATAAGACCATTATTTTTACATGGCTCTGAAACTTGGAGCACAACTAAAAGAGATGAAGCCTTATTAAAGGTTTTCGTAAACAGAGTCTTACGACCAATCTTTGGACCCATTAAAGGTGCAAACAGCTGGGAATAGACAGTGAGAAGCAATAACGAAATTCATAATCTCTCTAAATCACCTTTGATTACTGCATCATGAGAGCTAATAGACTGAAATGACTGAGGCATATTGAAAGAATGACAGAGAAGTAAAAACAGTGCACACAAGGGAGATGATTGGTCGTAGACCACGAGGCAGACCAAGAAGACGATGGAGAGATATTGTCCAGGCAGGCCTGCAAACACTTGGTATCACCAACTGGAAAGAGAAGGCCAACCAGAGAGATGAACTGAGGCGGGAGATATCTGCAGCAATAAACCTCAAGGGCTCGGAATGCCGAAGAAGAAGAAGGAGAAGAAGAATATCATGCTGTATACGTCTCTACTCACTGCCCCCCCCCCCTCTCTCTCTCTCTCTCTCTCTGTGTCTGTCTGTCGGTCTGTCTGTCTGTCTGTCTGTCTGTCTGTCTGTCTGTCTGTCTGTCTGTCTGTCTGTCTGTCTGTCTGTCTGTCTGTCTGTCTGTCTGTCTGTCTGTCTGTCTGTCTGTCTGTCTGTCTGTCTGTCTGTCTGTCTGTCTGTCTGTCTGTCTGTCTGTCTGTCTGTCTGTCTGTCTGTCTGTCTGTCTGTCTGTCTGTCTGTCTGTCTGTCTGTCTCTCTCTCTCTCTCTCTTGAGTTTAAATCTGGACGTTATGCCCATTGTTACAAGTTAGTTTGGGTATGGGATGTCCATCGATTCAAGTTATGAAAGGTATAGTATGCCCATTGTTACAAGTTAGTGCGGGGATGGTATGCCCATTGTTTTCTGTATTTATCTAAATGATCCCTTAATCCTGGTCACGTGGAATGGACCAATGATGATGGCGATTCAAATTCTCATTATGTTACATTTTTCAGCAGACCAATTGGAACGTATGCAAAAATACAACAACAACAACAACAAAAAGCCAACTAATTGCACAATGTCCCTTGTGTCCATACACACCAGTGGTGTTTTTCCTTTCGTCCTTTTTAGGACGCAATTTTTTGTTATTTGAAGCCCCACCCTGGCTTTTGCAAGGGGCCGCAATATAGACAGGCCATAAATATGGCCAATTGTCTGAACGCGGTTTCTGGGACCTCTCTACGGTGATCCTCATCCACATGGTGGCACTTTGTGTCATCGGGTGTTTATCGCTTGTGTGATGTCCTGGTGGGGTAGAAAGTCAGTCAGTCAGTCACAATGCCCCACCCATCCTCCCCCTTTCAGTGGTAAGGCGTAAGAGGGGCACAGTGCTGTCACACTGGACTAAAAGATGCATTGAATAACAATAATCCATACTGTACCTTTTCCAAGGCTGCAGTAAGAGATCCCTCTCTCTCTCTCTCTCTCTCTCTCTCTCTCTCCCCCCCCCACACACACACACACACACACACATGTACACGCGCAGCACTACCTTTGGAAATACCCGGATGCAAGTTGTACTAGGGACTGGATTCACGCTAAAAGAATCTACATGTCCTGAAGTCGCTTGCGACAACATGAACCCAGTCAGTCTTCATCATTTATTAAAATTTGACTTCGAAATAAGCCATGTGCATAAAATATGCTAATGTATGGCATCAGAACAAAAAAGGCTTTCTTGAACAAAAACAAACACTTAATGAACATTTCAAATGACAACCAATTAAATACTGAAAAGAAAAACATTGGACGACCTTTATTCAAAAGCAGTTTGAAAAAAAATACAATAAAAGCACAGGAGCCAATAACAAAGTGTAAATAAGAATTATTAGAAAAATAGTGCACTCTACAACTTGAAAGAAAAAAATGAAGATGGATGGTATCTGATTATAATCAAAATCATCACATAACTAACGATCGCAATTATAACCTTATTTGAGGTCGAACAGGGTAAACTTAATAGCTAGAGAGAGATAGAGATAGATAGATAGATAGAGAGAGAGAGAGAGAGAGAGAGAGAGAGAAAGAAAGAGAGTGAGAGGGGGAAGAGAGAAAGAGAGCGAGAGAGAGAGTTTATAATGTGACCTGTGCTAATCCGGTTTTCGTTTCCGGTCATTGAACCGAGTCAGAAGACACGTGTAGCAGAGCTTGGCGAGCTGGTAGACAACCAATAAAATCAGTGAGGTCACAGCCAACAGGGCAGTGATAACATCAAGGAGGTAGAGTTGATACCAGGGCATGTCTTGGGCTGCAGATCTCATGTATGCCCCGCCATATTTTAGCACATGGTCCAGCCAGTAGGCGCATTCTGTCTTTGGGTCTTTATACAACTCGCGGTAAAGACGGGAGGCTTTCTTCATGTTCTCTGTAAAATTTCCTTCGTAAATGATTTCCTTCATCATGGCTGCCAGTTCGTCTGCGCTAATTTTGCGAATGTCTGCACGAAGGCCAAGTTGTTTAATTTTGATTCTTTCCGAGTTGTAGCCCTGATCTGCGAAAATTGGCAGACAGAGAATGGGCACTGCGTGGTAGAGAGCTTCGTACTGTCCGTTCTTACCACAGTGAGACACAAACAGTTTGGTCTTTTCATTTCCCAAAAGGTCGTTTTGTGGCATCCACAAGGACGTCCTGATGTGCCCGGGGTCAGGGGAGGTTAAATTTACATTCCACACCACCCTGAGGTCGAGCTGTCTGAAAGCTGCCGCCATTTTGGTTGTAATGGGAGCGGGTACATTGATCACACTTGCCCCAAACGACACGACCACGATTCCGTGCTTGGACTCGTCCACAAACTTCTTCAGTTCCCCAATTAGTGGCTTGGCTACCGAGGCCGATGACCCTCCTACCAGTTTAGTGTTAGGCAGCATCAGGCGAGGATAGTCGAGTACGTGATCAGTCTCAGCAATGAATATTTCAGCATCGCCTGCTAGAGCATTGATTGACTTGTAAGGTTTGTGGGCTGCAAACCTGGACACTAGGCTGCTGTCATGAAACAGGTCGTTGACGCGGACAAGATGGATGAGAAAGTTGACAACCCTGTCTGCGAATGTCAGCCTGTTACTCATATGGTCCATGGGGTAGTCCGGCGCTCCTTGATTAAAGGGAACCCGGTTCAAAGGGGGTTCATGGAATGATCCAACAAATGCAAAGGGCGTATTCAACAAGTACGGCAGTACTACAATATTTACGTTAAAAATACTGGAATCTAAGACGAACAAGTCTGCATTCAGATTTCGTATTGCATTTATAAAAGTCTGATCAGACAAAATGTCATGTGCTAGTCTTGAATATTCTCGCGTGTGATAGTAGAAGTTCACGGTGCTCACTGAGAATTCTTCTTGCCAGAAAACTTCAATCATTCTTGAGTGTTTCATCACTCGCTTCTCGATGTCGCCCAAATGTTTCCCATACGGGAGAACTTTGACAGCCTGGTCTTTAACCAAGTTTTTGTAAAGCAGAAATTCTGGCACGCAGATCCATACGTCATGGCCCCGGCTGGCTAGAGCTGCTGCTATGTTGCCGTGGTAGACGAAGTAGCTGGTACTTGGGGGTGGCAAGAACACCACAGTCTTGGCGAGGGTCAGTGTGCTCAATGTCACAAACACGGCCACGGTTACTGTAGATTTGGGTCCACTCATTGCAAAGCCTATACGTCAGTGTCGTAATCTGGAGATAAAATATATATACATACCAGTGTTGTAATCTGAGGGATAGAACATATATGTCAGTGTCGTAATCTGGGAGTTAGAACATATATACCAGTGTCGTTATCTGAGATGGGGTAGGGGGTGCCATATATACCAGTGTCGTAATCAGGGATTGGGGACGTAGAACATACATACTAGTGTCATAATCTGGGGGATAGAACGTGTTTATCAGTGTCGTAACCTGGGGGATAGAGCGTATGTACCAGTGTCGTAATCGGGAGGGGGGGGGGTGGAACAGGAGGAGGGCTAGAACATATAAACATGTCTCGTAATCTAGGGGACAGAACATTTATATTAGTGACGTAATCGATGGGACAGAACATTTATATCAGTGACGTAATCTGTGGGACAGAACATTTATATCAGTGACGTAATCTGTGGGACTGAACATTTATATCAGTGACGTAAACCGTTGGGCAACACATTTATATAAGTGAGGTAATTTGGAGGATGAAATATATTTATATCAGCGACGTAATCTGGGAGACATAACATTTATATCAGTGACGTAATCTGTGGGACAGAACATTTATATCAGTGACGTAATCTGTGGGACAGAGCATTTATATCAGTGACGTAATCTGTGGGACAGAACATTTATATCAGTGACGTAATCTGTGGGACAGAACATTTATATCAGTGACGTAATCTGTGGGACAGAACATTTATATCAGTGACGTAATCTGTGGGACAGAACATTTATATCAGTGACGTAATCTGTGGGACAGAACATTTATATCAGTGACGTAATCTGTGGGACAGAACATTTAGATCAGTGACGTAATCTGGGAGACATAACATTTATATCAGTGACGTAATCTGTGGGACATAATATTTATATCAGTGACGTAATCTGTGGGACATAACATTTATTTCAGTGACGTAATCTGTGGGACATAATATTTATATCAGTGACGTAATCTGTGGGACATAATATTTATATCAGTGACGTAATCTGTGGGACATAATATTTATATCAGTGACGTAATCTGTGGGACATAACATTTATATCAGTGACGTAATCTGTGGGACATAATATTTATATCAGTGACGTAATCTGTGGGACAGAGCATTTATATCAGTGACGTAATCTGTGGGACAGAGCATTTATATCAGTGACGTAATCTGTGGGACATAATATTTATATCAGTGACGTAATCTGTGGGACATAATATTTATATCAATGACGTAATCTGTGGGACATAATATTTATATCAGTGACGTAATCTGTGGGACATAATATTTATATCAGTGACGTAATCTGTGGGACATAATATTTATATCAGTGACGTAATCTGTGGGACATAATATTTATATCAGTGACGTAATCTGTAGGACAGAGCATTTATATCAGTGACGTAATCTGGGAGACATAACATTTATATCAGTGAGGTAATCTGGAGGATAAAATATATTTATATCAGCCACGTAATCTACGGGATAGAATATGTATCAGTGACGTAATCTGGGGGATAGAACACATATACCAGTGTCGTAATATAGGCAATAGAGTAGTACAAAGATACATGTTTCACATTATAAGGAGGATACAACATAAATACCAATGTTATTTGTGGGAAGAAGGAAAAAGAGGCGTAGGGGGCATAATACCCAATGTATTCTTGGGAGAGGAGGTAGAACAAACACACGTGACGTAATATGAGGGGGATAAAAAATACATTTCGACTGTCGTAAACTAATGAGATAGAACATACATTTCTAATGTCGTAAACTAATAGAATAAAACATATATTTCTAATGCCGTAAACTAATGGGATAAAACATACATTTTTAATGTCGAAACTAATGGGATAAAACATACATTTCGATTTTTGTAAACTTATGGGATAAAATATACATTTCGAATGTCGTAAACTAATGAGAGAGAACATATGTGACTTATATCTACCCAGGATATCTCAGAGACTTGTGTGCGGAATGTCTTACAAATTAGTCTCTGTCCCCCTAGTGTCCCACAAACTAGAGTCTGCCCAGTGTCCTACAAACTAGTGTCTGTCAAGTTTCACACAAACTAGCGTCTACCCAGTGTTTTACAAACTAGTGTCTGTCCAGTGTCCTTCAAACTAACGTCTGCCCAGTGTCTTACAAACTAGCTTCTGCCCAGTGTCCCACACACTAACGTCTGCCCAGTGTCTTACAAACTAGCTTCTGCCTAGTGTCCCACAAACTAGTGTCTGTGCAGTGTCCCACAAACTAGCGTCAGCTCAGTGTCCCACAAACTAGCGTCTGCCCAGTGTCCCACAAACTAGCTTCTGCCTAGTGTCCCACAAACTAGTGTCTGTGCAGTGTCCCACAAACTAGCGTCTGCCCAGTGTCCCACAAACAAGTGTCTGTCCAGCGTCCCACAAACTAGTGTCTGTCCAGTGTCCTACAAAGTAATGTCTGCTCAGTGTCCCCAAAACTAGTTTCCGTCCAGTGTTTCACAAACTATTATCTGCCCAGTGTCCCACAAACTAGTTTCCGTCCAGTGTCCCACAAACTATTATTTGCCCAGTGTCCCACAAACTATTATCTGCCCAGGATGTCCCACAAACTATTACAGTATCTGCCCAATATGACGCACACACTAATGTGTGCCCAGGATGTTCCAGACACTAGTATCTTCCCACGATAAACCAGAAACTTGTGTCTACCCCAACGTGTTCTACAGACTAGTGTCTTCTCGGTTTGTACCACCTGTAGACAAACGTCTATGCTGACATACTAGCCCCTTTTTCCGTAACACCAAAGAATCATTCAAAGAAAACAGAGCATTTACTTGCCTAGAAAAGAACTCAACTTAGCCTCTTGGATGTCCCAGACACTAGTATCTTCCCGCGATGTCCACCAAACTAGTGTCTACTCCAACGTGTTCCACAGACTAGTGTCTGCCCGGTTTGTACCACCTGTAGACAAAACATTCCAAATGAAATCCGCAGCTTGGTGGGCGTGGGCAACTGCTGATCTGTTGGTGACTTCTGGTACCATCAATGATGAACTGCATTTCTAATGTCGGACTGTTTGTACTAGCACTTCGGATGGCTACCGTATGCTTTAATGCAAGTGTGTGCTAGATATTCTGAGACAGCAGTCTGTCAATCTTTCCACAAGGGACTGTGATAAACATTCTGTGTGTTTTTCGTTGGCACAGGAGCGGAGCAAAGCTCGGGGTGACCCGTTTACTATGAAGCTGAAACTAAGACTACCAGACTACCTGTAGACAATCCTCGATGCTAACTCACTAGCCCCTTCTTCCATCACACCCAAATATTATTCACTAAAACACAGCATTCACTTACCGAGAAAAGAACTCAGTTCACCTTCCAGTGATTACAGACGCAGATTCTACTAATGTTAAGTGAGACCGCCAGAATATGGTGCAGCTATCTGTGTCCTGTCTCCTCACCCGGAACCTACTGAAGAACTACCTGTCCAGGCAACATATTGCCGTTGTCACAGATGCTGACCTGTCACTGAGATGGCGTGGCCCGTATCTACAAACACCACTTCTATTAATTTTGAGCCCATTGTCATTGAGAGGATTAAGTGCTGAAACAAGACTTATATAGACCTCCTGGTGGATACATAAATCAATAATAGCATAAGTTTTAGAAAAAAAAAAGTATAGGACTCCTTTCCTCGCCTTCAGGCGTATTGGGCATATAGGGCTAGACATATATTTTACAGACCAATCGGCTCGATGGGTGATGTAGTCAGCATCCCCCTAGCCGCCTTTACTTCCCAGGGCTATACCTGATACAATAATAGCATAACTGTACATTTATTAATTACATTTCAAAACACATGAGGATAGGTACTTCCATTTTTTTAAAATATCAAAGACAATGATAAATTAACGGGAAAAAAGAGCAACCAAGATGTTGGGAAAGAAGCGAAGGCTGAAAGACAGCTTATCGCACACATCAGAAAGAGACGGTCATCATTTTTTTTTTTTTTGGGGGGGGGGGGGGTGTCAACATAGGAACTGATACACAGTGTTGCAGATCGCAGATTGTGGAGAGGGTTATCGTCCACGCCAGTCGTCAATGCACTTGATTACAACAATACACAGTCCGTGGCGACAGAACTAGCCATGCAGCCCCATATTTTCAGGTGCCTGACCTCCCGTCTTTACCGCCCTAAAAAAGTGCTAAATGCCGACAGTAGTGACCGTTTATGATAGACTCTTTTCCTCTCCTTTATGCGTATTTTGGCACCTAAGACTAGACCTATACTTTATAGACTAGTCGGTACTTGGTGGACGATGTGGTCAACATCATACCGATTGCCTGACTTTCTAGGACTGTACCTGGCGTCCGTGGCTTAGGGGTTGCGAGTCTGACTCGCAATCCAACGTACCTCGATCGAAACCCACTGCTGGCTGCGTGGATTTTTTTCCTGGTATAGGGCGTCGCAGGTCGACCCAGCCTAAAATGGGTACCATGATGGCTGTCCTGGGAAAGTAAAGACGGCCGGCATAATGCTGACCACATTACCCACCCAGTGCCGATTGGTCTGTCAAAATATGGGACGCTCTGCCCATTTAACCAATGCGCCTTAGGTGTAAAAAGGGATCTTTACTTTACTTACTTTACTAGGACTGTTCCTGATACCCGTTTGGTCGACTCAAACATTTTTGAAGATAATTTATGGTTAAAGGGGCCTGTAAGTATCCCTACAAATAATCAGGGTGCGGGATATGGGGCCTCAATGGACCTCAGCCCCCAAGCTGCGGCGCCTATTCAAGGTTGGAAAGAAAAGAAGGACTTGGGGAAAATATCCTGTCGCCGTTAAGGACCGATATCTGGAAGTTGGCGATTTTTTTTACGAACGCACCAGCCATTAAAGTCAGCAAGGCTATTCAACTAAGTTAACTAGGGACCATGATTTTGAACATGATACAAAACATTTGGCAATGTTCCACATCCACT